GAATTGAATCCAGGACCTCTGGAAGGGCAGCCATCTCTCAGGCCCAAGGAATTTTAATTTTCCTGCCTCATCTCCCAGAACGCTGAGATTACAGCCATGTAGCACTAAACCAGGCCTTTTGAGAAGAAAGTTTTAGAGAACATCTTACTACATCTTACTTATTGGTGTGAATATGTGTCTGTGCACTACAAAGGACACGCGGAAGGCACAGGAGAACTTGCAGGTATAGGTTTTCTCCTTCTGCTATTGGGTTTGAGGCCCAGACTCAGGCCGCCTGGTTTGGAGGCAAGCACCTTCACCGAGTGAGCACCTCACCACTCTTCCCGGCACTGAGATATCACCCTAATAATAGACCGTGTGTCTTTGGACAGGCCTGTGTCGTTAATCTTTTCTTCTCTAACTGCTGTGAGGGATCCCGTTACACCACACTTGAAAAGATCTTTTGGAATGGGGCAGGACGACTCTCCTCTTAATCAAATGCTTTTATCAGAAGTTTTGGGGGCTGGAGAGTTGGCTCAGAGGCTGCACGCAACCGTGAGGAGTGGACTTTGGGCCCCAGCACCCACATGACAAGCCAGGTGTTTTGCACACCCCAGCAGTGATGTGGGCAGAGACTGGAGAGAATCACCGAGGCTTGCTCGTTTCCAGCCCAGCCAAGAAACAGCCCTATCCCAAAGAAATAGCTGGAAAGATAGAGGACACCTGACATCGTCCCTGGCTTCTGTATGTGAACACAGGCACCTGTCACCAACACACACGTGTACACACAGAGAAATGAATCCTTACAGAGTATGTATAATTGTTTGTACTTGTGTCTGTATGGAGGTATATGCAATGAGTGCAATGGGGGTCCCTGCAGGCCAGAGCCATCAGCTCCCCAGAGCTGGAGTTACAGGCAGCTGTGATCACCTGACATGAGTGCCAGAATCACTCGGGTTTCATCCCCAACACTCAGACGGAGACTCACAACTATAACTCCAGTTCTAGGGATCTGGCACTCTCTTCTGACTTTCAGGGGCACCAGTAATGCTTATAGTGTAGGCACCAGGAAGGCAAGAACACTTACACACATATAATACAATCTTTATTGGTGTTATACCTTAAATCTGAAATGTAGGCCTATGGTCCTCAGCTGGCAAGGCCTCTGGGGGGGAGGGTTGGGTCCTAGCTAGAGAGGGGGCGTTACTGGGGAAGACTTTTGAGGTTAGGGCTTCTTTCAGCACAAACTCTGCTTCAGGATCCCCGACATGTGAGCCAATTAGCTGCACTTCCCAGTTCCCACCACTCCAGCTGCCATGCCTTCCTCATGGTGGGCTGACCTCTTGCTGTGAGTCAAACAAAGCTGACAGATTCGCCTGCCCCTGCCTCTGCCTTGCATACTGGGACAAAGGCACGTGCCACCACCATCCAGCAGGTTTTCATTTTTTAAATTTATTATTATATTGCCTGCATGTGTATGTGTGCTTCATGTATTTGCACCAAGAGTCAGGTCCTTGGAACTGAGATTCCAGATGACTAGATGTGGGTGCTGGGAACTGAACCCAGGTCATTCGCTGTAGCACAAATACAAACCCAGAGACAGATATTGGGGTCCAAGCTGAAAATCAGAAAAGCAAAGCAGCCAACCACTAGAGAGTTCTCACCTCTTATGCTCAGACTGAAAGGGGAGAGCCACTGAACCTCAGACTGAGACTGAGACCCTGAGTTCCTGTCTCTTCCCATTTACATTCCTCTCTAGTGCTGGGATTAAAGTCCTACACCACCACTGCCTGGCCTGTACAGTTAACTAGTGTGGCTGGCGTTGCACTCTGATCTGCAAGCAAGCTTTATTTATTCAAACACAAAGTATCACTATAATTTGCAAGAGCAGCAAATGCTGTCAACGTTTTTAGATAAAGATGCCCCAGTAGAGACTCTTCTTAAGGCTGTCAGCTTTCACTCACACCCCCTTTTATAGCAAGGAATCCAGCCATGGCATATATTCTTTGTAAATGGCTTGTTTTTGATGATGAATAAGGTATTATGAGCTAGTCATGGAAGGGCAGAGCTCACTTCAGTGGCTATGAGGCCACTGCATACAGACACATTCAATTAACTTTACTGAATGTAATACCTAGTTCCCATTGGCTTCAAAACCAAAGCAAAGCAGAGTGAAAACAACGCACAGCTAAGGCTTATGTACACTTACCGAGGGTGGCATCCTGCACATTGAAAACATCTCTGTGTTTTAGTATGTGCCTGCATGTCTGTGTCTGTGGACCCTTTGTGTGCCTGGTATCTACAGTCCTAGAGAAGTTTCCCATCCGGAGCTGGAGCTACACATGGCTGTGGCCATGCTGTGGGTGCTGAGAGCTCAACCCAGGTCTTCTGCAAAAGGAGCCAACTGGGAACAAATGCTTGGACTGTTGAAACCAGCGACATACCTCCTCCGAGGCCAGACCTCCTAATCCTTTCTTCTCAAACAGTGCCTTCGACTGGGGAGGCATTCAAACATATGAGCTTATGAGGCTGTGCTCATTCGGACTACCACAGAACCTACCTAAAGCCATTTTCCAACATGGTTATTGGCATCATGAACAAGAGCTGCCCATTCCAATCATCCACTTACATTGGTAAAGCAATTTTCTGTTCAACAAAACAGTCTCAAAGTCAAAACACATCAGGGATTAGTCCCCCAGCTTGTCACTTATCGGGGAACACCAACCCCAGGACTTCTAGGCACCGCATCACCCTATGGCCCACCATTCCATACCTGTCCTTCCTCACACGCCACCTCAAGACCCTCAACTTTACCCACACCAGCACCTGCAAGCTAAGGGCAGAACCTTCATGAGATTTCCTGTTGTCCCCTCTCCCTCAACAGGCTTCAGTAGTCCAGGCTGGCCTTGAACCGCTGTTGCTTCAGGTCATCTAGAAGCTACACACTGGTTGCAATGATGGCTGTTGGAACTGAGTGGAACACAGGAATGGTGTCTCCAATCCTTATTTAAAATTCTGCTGGTATGTGTACCATGTGCAGCCCCAGGCCTGTGCAGCTCAGGGGAGGGCATTGCTCATGCCCTGAACTCCATCACGATGATTTCCTCATGTAGGTGGGTCATCTATGTGTTACTTTCATCGGTTAATAAAGAAACTGCCTTGGCTTTTTGATGGGGCAGAATTCACATAGGTGGGTGTAGACAGAACAGAATGCTGGGAGAAAGAAAGCAGAGTCAGGCAGACGCCATGATTCCCCTTCCCGAGATGGATGCTGGCAAGCCACGACCTCATGGTGGCATACAGATTATTAGATATGGGTTAGTCAATAAGAGGCTAGAACTAATGTGCCAGGCAGTGTTTAAACGAATAGTTTCCGTGTAATTATTTCAGGTGTAAACTAGCCGGGGAGCCGGGATCCTGGTGGGAAGGCAGCCCGCCACTTCCTTTTGCAACATCTCCAAGAATAGAAAGTGCTCTTGATTACTAAGCCATCTCTCCAGCCCTAAAGAGCAACTTTTAAAACAGCTTTAAGGGCATGATGGCATGGTAACGCCAGCCCTTGAGAGGCACAGGTGTACCTCCGTGGGTTACATGACATGGCAACCCCAGCCCTTGAGAGGCACAGGTGAATCTCCGTGGGTTACACAATAAGCTCCAGGACAGTCAAGGCTGTGCAAGAAGTGTGAGGAGCTAAGCTCGGGTCCCCATAACTTCCTGTCGGCCAGCCTAGCTGGGTTGCAGGCATCCTTCAGCCTTAACCCCCAAGGTAGCCACAAATCTATGCTATTGAACCTGGTTGTAGAACTTTTTCCCATTCATTTGGTGGTGTTAGGTAGACTCCAATACTCAGATGCTGGGTAAACACTAACACCAAGTTATAGTCCCGCGCCCACAGATCTCCTATGTGCTCTTGCCCAGGAATACAGATCTAACCAATAGCAGAGAACATTTCCCTAGCATCTAAGGCAAGAAAATCAATTCAAAGTCATCCACAGCCACTAAACAAATTTAGAGGCCAGTCTGTTACATGAGACTGTCTCAAGAAATGTGTCAAGTGAGGGGTTGTTTATCAACCCGGTTTCCAGTCACCACTAAGTTTAACACGCAAGAGAGCAGAAGCCACTGTACAGCTATAGACCCAAGTGCTTGAGGAGTCAAGGCCAGTATGCACATCTCAAGAATCAGAGAAGCCATGTGTGATGGCACATGCCTTTAATCCCAAACAGGCAGGAGACAAAAAGCAGGAGGATACCTGACTTGAGGCCAGCCTTGTCTAGAATGAGTTCCAAGACAGCCAGGGGTACACAGAAGGAAAAAATAAAAAAACAAAAACAAAACAAAAAAAAACAAAAAAAGGGAAGTTAATCAGAAAATTAAACCAATCTGGCACTTTCAAATACTCTTTCACAACGGAGATTTTATTGGTTGAGGAGTAAAGTACACAGACATTTCAATTCTTAAAACATGTACCCAAACTCTGAGGAGTCATACATTGTGTTCACGTACCCAAAAGAGCCATGTGTTGTTTCAAGTGATGTTCCACCCCCAAACTTGGCAAGTCTTCCCCAAGACCTCACATAATAAGCTGCTCACAATCCTCAACTCCACTGACTCACCATTTTATGCCACGCACAGGACACACTCCCAAGTTCAATGTTTCACAGCACATTGTTACACTTGTTAGGAAAATGGACTGCCATAGGCAGACAGTCCTGACAGGGTAAGGACCAAGGAGTGGGTTTTTAGCCAACAGTTCTACAAAACACGACACTGGATATAACGGAAAATATTGCAGACACAAACGCACGACCGAGACTCCAAATTACCACTTAGTATATGCTTTGTGTTGTAGGATATAAAACTAGCCCCCTCTACGGAATGTTATGGTGACCCCCGAGACAGTCACAGCCTCTCTTGATTCAGTATCCTGCTATTTTCTGGTTGTACCAAAAAAAAAACAACCAGCAAGTGATTTAACCTCTTAAAAAAATCATTTACACTTAAAAAATGGGATGAGGCCCACACTTAAAAAATGGGATGAGGCAGGATTTCTCCCCACCTTTTAAAAATGTTTCTAGAGCTACTAAAAAACTCGCATTTACAAAATAGTCGATAAAAATATTCCTCTGGATTGTACAAGAAGGGAGGCAGGGACACTGACAGACATGATGGATGGTTAGTCGGACTTGGCTTCTTTCTCTTCTCCTTCAGAGGCTGGACTCTGCAAACCACAGGAAAAGAAAGATCAAGTACACCATATGCCACGGCCACAATCAACACTTAACACAGCACAGCATGGATGCCATTTCTTTCCTTTCCTTGAGACACTGTCCTTCATACAGCCCGGGCTATCTTGGAATTTATTTCTTACAACAGGCTGGCCTCAAGCTCAGAGATGTACCTTCCTCTTCTCCCAGAGTGCAGAGATTAATGGTGTGTGTCACTATGCCTGTCCATTTTCTTTTTCTTTTGGGTTTTTGAGACAGGGTTTCTCTGTGTAGCCCTAGCTGTCCTGGAACTCACTCTGGAGACCAGAGTTCTGCCTACCTCTGCCCCGGAGTGCTGGGATTAAATGTGTGCACTACCACCTGGCCAAGGCTCGGGTCTGGAAGGGTTTTTTTCAAACTGAGATACAAACATCTGACCACTAAGAGCCCCAGACAAGCGAGTTCAAGGTCAGCCTGGTCTATACAGCCGGTGCTACATAAAATACTCCTATAATACTGTTCCAGTTGGAGACTGAGTTGGTAGGTGAAGTCACACAGGATAACCAGAGTGCTAATCCTCAGCACCCATCAGAGCCAGGTGAGTGCTGCAGGCTGTCTATAATCCCAGCATGCAGGAAAGCTTCATCTATCAAGGGATCCCATTAAAATACAGAAAATGGAGAATAACAAAGATCACCATGTCAAGTATGTATGTACGGACACCACATGAAACCCATCATTCCAATTTGCCTTCCTAAGCTTAACAAGTACATCAAAAGGTTAGAAAAATAAGAATTGTGGGCGCAACAAAAGCTAGTTGCTGTTAGCCTGGTGGCTCATGCCTGGAATCCCAGTAGCTGGAGGCTGAAGCAGATGCATCATTTCAGAATTAGACTACAGAGACTATCTCTAAAGGACAGAACATCTGTTACCAAAACCTTACACATCAGGCAGTGCTGGTGCATGCCTTTAATCCCAGCATTTTAGGAGGCTGAGGCAGGCAGATCTCTGCGAGTTCAAGGGCAGCCTGGTCTACAAAGTGTTAGAAGAGCCAGGGCTGACATACTGAGAAATCCTGTCTCGAAAAACAGAATCAAACCCTAATCTGCTACATCCAAGATTCAATTTAACATCTGTTGCCCCAAACCCAACATGAACGCATGCAGGTGTCCTCTTCTGACCTGGTTCTCGGTCTCTCCGTTCTCTGCGGGCAGATCCGTGGTTTGCTGGTCGGCCACTTCAGCTTGTTTGCCCTTTGCTCCCCGCTTCCCTTTTGCTTGCACTTTTTTATCCGATGACTTATCCTGAAACAAGAGTAAGAGAACATCTTAACACACTTTTCACTTAATTTTGACTTGATACAGACTGTATCCACAATGGGTATAACAATGTATCTTGTGAGACAACCCCAGACACTCAGAAACACAGCCTTGGTATCGGACAACTTGAGATTCACCCCAACAAGGAGACCATGAGTCCTGAGAGTCACCATCACACCTCATTAACTGAGATTCAGCCTAAAGCCTATGCTGAACTCCCCACAGCACCGTGGCCATTACCACACATCAGAGCTTAAATGCAGAAGTCTTCTAACCCTACCAATCCAGCAATGTCTTTTAAGCATGAATAATCCACCTGCCACACACTGCTCTGAAAAGATCAGTGGCGCACACCTTTAATCCCAGCACTTGGGAGGCAGAGGCAGGTGGATCTCTGTGAGTTCAAGACCAGCCTGGTCTACAGAGCTAGTTCCAGGACAGGCTCCAAAGCCATAGAGAAACCCTGTCTCGAAAAACAAAAACAAAACAAAAAACAAAAAAAAAAAAAAAAAAGGAAGAAAGAAAGAAAAGCTTAGTGATCCCCGCCTCCTAAAACCAAAGCAACAAAAAGAATCAGTTCTCTGTTAAGATTATGGTTGTGGTACTAACATATACGTGTATCAATAATTGGATGCAGGGCTGGAGAGATGGCTCAGCGGTTAAGAGCACTGCTTGCTCTTCCAAAGGTCCTGAGTTCAGTTCCCAGCAACCACATGGTGGCTCACAACCATCTGTAATAAGATTTGGTGCCCTCTTCTGGCCTGCAGGCATACATGCAAAATACTAAGAATACTGTATACACAATAAATAAATAAATCTTTAAAAAAAAAAAAATTGGATGCAATAAAAGCCAAATTCCTTATGGGCGCTGGTGACTTACATGACTTAAAGGCACCCAAGGTAAACAAGAGAACCAACACTGTCTTAAGGGAATGTGGAGGGCGGGGTTCCATATAGTACAGTGACTTCATTCGACCCACTCTGTTTTATCTTCTTTTGTTTTTTTGAGACAGAATTTCTCGGTGTACCACCATTGGTTGTCCTCAAACTTGCTTTGTAGACCAGGCTGGCTACAAACTCACAGAGATTCGCCCACCTCTGCCTCCCAAGTGCTGGAATTAAAAGCATGTGCCACTACTGCCCAACGGCATGAGAAAGTCTTAGTTGATGGTATTGTCGCCATTTCTAGAAGCTGTGTTTAAAAAGACCACTAACAGGTAATGGGAGAGACAGTTCAATTCCCAGGACTCACCTGATGGCTCAAAGCTGTTAGACCCTATTTCGGCCTGTGATAAGCGCGCGTGCGCGCGCGCACACACACACACACTCATACATACTTACAACAGCCACTATCCCAACAGTTCAGTTTCTACTCATGTCCACAAGATGTTCTTTTCCTCTAATTACGTACACGCATATGTGCCTGTGCTGGCTGTGCCTGAGGAGGCCAGAAGAGGTTATCACACCTTTTTATCCCCTGGAGCTGTCACTCAAACAGATCCAGGTCCCTCTGTAAAATCAGTGTGCGCTCTTAACCAGTGAGTCATCTCTTCGGCTCATAACATGCTTCTGAGTTCTTAAAAAAGGCCTGTACTTGTGTCTGTGCATCGCGCGCATCTGGGGCTGGAGACCTCTAGGAACAGGAATGATGGACGTTCGTGAGCTGCCCTGTGGGTGCTGGGGACTGAACTCAGGTCCTCTGCAAAAACCAAACGCGCACAACTGCTAAGGATGTACCCAGCCGCCCGCAATGACCTTCCAGGAGCCTCAACTTCAACCGAGCGGCCTGCCTACACTTCCGTTTCCAAACCTACCTTTCCCGCGGCCTTTTTCGGCTTCGCGTCCACCTTGGCAGGGGCGGGCTTCTAGGGAGAGGGGACAAAAAGAAAGGTAAGAGGCGGCGAGCGGTCCTGCAGAGCGCGGCCCCGCTCGCTCCCGCCCCGGCCCCGCGGTACTCACGGCCGACAGCCTCGCGGAGCGGCGCTTGGGCTGCGGAGAGAGAAAGCAGGGTGAGCGACGCGACGCTGCGACCGCACCCCCGCCGCCCTGCCCGCCCCGGCCCGCCCGAGGCCCGCGCTCACCTCCGCCTTCGCCGCTCCGTCCGCGTTAACCTGCAGAAAGAGCGAGCACCGGAGAACAATGCGGCCGCGTGACGTCACGCGAGCGGCCCGCGCCCCCCGAAGATTCCCGAACCCGCACCCCGCTCCGGCCCGACCCCCGCTCGGGGCTCCGCCGCCCGTCCCTCCCGCCGCGCTCACCTTCCTCTTGGGCATCTTGGCGGCGCTGGATGGGAGGCGCGTGCGAGGCCGAACCTGTCACGGAGCCGCCGCCGCACGGTCTGCTGCGACCCGCCGCGGGGGCGGTGGGAGAACCGGATGGAACCGGATTGGGGCCCGCCCCCCTCTCCCCCGCGCCTCCCCGCGGGCCGGGCCGCCCCCCGCCCCCATTGGCTGCGAGGCCCGCCGGCGCCCGAGACCGCGTCCCCGCATAGGCGCGGCGGCCTGTCACTCCGCAGCCTCGCCCCGCCCCCGGGGCCCCTCACTCGGCGGGCGCGACCCCGACCGAGGGGCGGGCCGGAGCCGCCCGACCCCGCTAGGTAGTTTGTTTGAAGCCGACTGCAAAAGTGCGGTCTGCGCGCTGATTCGCGGGGGCGTGTCACGTGGTGCCGCGTCGCCCTCCCACAATGCCCTGGGCGGCTGGGTCTCCAGTCAGCCGCCTGCCCGCTTGCCCTGCGAGGCTTCCCCGAACGCCCGCCTAACGGGGTCTGCACCACGATGGCTGTGGCTGGGGTTCGGCTATGCCTAGGCGAGGTTCGCCATGAAATGCCCGTGGACGTGCAGGCGCGGGCTGGGGCGGACAAGCAACCTGGCCGGTGGTGCAGACGCGCGCGCGGAGCGGGCAGGTCGCGCAGGCGCAGCTTCTTCCTCGCGCCTTCACCAGCCTCGTGTTGGTGGGATCGGTGTGTTTTTAATGCAGCTTGGTGAGGTTTTAGCGCATGCAGATGTCGGGATCTCGGGCTTGAGTTCCTGCCCGCCGGCATCATCCCCGAGAAGTCACCCACTGCAGACTAATGTCCCCCTCTTCCGTGCTTAAGTGTGTGCAGGAATCGCACCGCCCCTTCCGAACCTAGCGCTCCGCTCAGCCGCGGTGGGTTTACCTCTGAATTCCCGAAGCCAGGAAGATTGTGCATAACTTTCTTTGTTTAAGGAAAGCAGTTAATGTTGAGGCCGACCTGCAGACATATGACTGCTGCTCGATTGTAACAAATATATATGTCTTTACCTACTCTAAAGCTTGTTGATAGGAGAGGGAATTCGGATCTTTTATTTCTTGGCACTTAGAAGATTTTAATGCAGATATCTTAAGTCCCCTACCCAGTAAAACCTTGGTTTTTTTTCTGCTGCATTCTACCAATTAGAAGGCCTGAAGCAGTGACCCCCTGAGCCAAGTCTTTTCAGCCTAGCTAACTGAATTAAAACTGTGAGGTCGAATCCCAGCCATTGGGGAAAAGACACTGTCACCACCTGAGTTAGGATAAAAACTAAATGCATTTCCTGTCTCTGTTCTATCTTCTGATTGTACCCTCTTGATTTGGATCTCTTGAATTCGAGACCAGCCTGGTTTACAGAACAAGTTCCAGGACAGACAAAGCTACAAAGAGGAACCCTGTCTCAAAAGACACCACCACCACCAAAAAAAAAAAAAAAAAAAAAAACCCATAAACTACCAGAGATGACCAAGCCGACACAGTTTATAGCCAACTCAAAGCCTTTATTAAGGCTACACTCCGGTCGGTATTCGGGACCCAAGTGTAGCCCAGATCATTTAGAACGAGGGCCTGCCTGCCTGCCTGTCCACCCACCCTCCCTCCCTCCTTTTTTCTTCTTTTAGACAGGGTTTCTCTGTAGCTTTAGAGCCTGTCCTGGAGCTCACTTTGTAGACCAGGTTGGCCTCCAATTCACAGAGATCCACCTGTCTCTGCCTCCCAAGTACTGTGATTAAAGGCCTGCGCCACCACCACCCAGCGACCTAGGGGTTTTTAACGACAAAACCCACATCCTGGTATCTCCCTCAGCAGCTGTAGGGAGAGGTTTTCATAAGCAGTTTAATGGGAACTAAGTTACCTGGGACATTTTGGCCTTCCTAGAGTAGTTTCCCACAGCATTTTCCATTAAGAAGATCAAATTCTAGTTCAATCCAAAATGACCTGAGCAAGGATACAAGATGGAGGAACCCCTGCACTACCTTTTCCTGTCACATTTCCCACTGTGGGCATGAATCAAATCATTAGCTAGTCCTATGGTAAGGGGATACAGCCGGCTCTAAGGACTAAGCGCTTAGCTGAGTTTATTATTGTGGGAATTCATTCCGCCAAACCACAAATATATAGTTGGCCATGCAGTTGAGTATACAAGGTCCCATCATTAGTCTGATCAGAATAAGAATCAATGGTTTAGCTGATGCTGACAGTCAGGTGGTCAACCACGGGGGCCAGGCAAACAGAGACTCCTCCTTTCTTTGAGGTGTTCTCTGACCATGGCAAGGTTTTCACTAACTACCACTGATGGGTTAGCACCGAAACAAGCTCCCCTGAGGCTGTGCAAAGTCCTCCCTGCGTCATTAAAAGAGGGTTCAGCCTCCTTCCCTTCCGTAGGACTACCTTTGTGAGGGAGTCAAGTCAGCTGTCCAGCCTGGAAATAGAATTCTCCAGATGGCCTAAATCTACATCTATCTGGAAACAGCTCCTCAAAGTTTTGATTCCCAACAATCAAGGCTGAGGTGCCTACGACAGCTTTAGTGGCTATTCCTGCCTCTATTAGAATCAGAACCAGAATTGGGGTCCATTTGACCTTCATTAACATTACACATGGCTAATAAGAGCTCCTCCCTCTTCTCCATTATAGGCAGACAGCTGGAGGATAACAGACCTTTCCTCAGTCCATTGGTACAAACCAGCCAGGTAACGACGACATGATGCAGGGACCTAGTCCTTGGTAGACCACACATAAAATAATTCCTGAAGGCCTTTTTCTTTTTTACAATTTGCAGGCCAGTCTTCTCCACAACCTCATTTTCTGACCCCCCCCCCCCGTTTGTCTACACCTAGATTGTTCCATCTCTGGAAGGGACATAAGAGAGCAGAAATTGACTCAAAGTTTCCCATCTGTGGTGTTTCTGAATCCCTGCATCCAGGGTTGGGGTGGATGGGGATTGTGTCCCCTGCCATAGTAAACCCTGGGCATTTTCACCTTTATCTTTAAGGGGCCTGAGTCCAGATCCATCTGTCCTTCTCCTTAGTGGCTTTTCGTGCTCCCTCCCCCAGGGGATGACACCAGCCTCCTTTCCAGACTCCAAAGAAGGATGAGTCTGCTGTCTGGCGGCATCTATCATCCTTGCTATCCTGTTTGGCCAGTCCTTATTCCTCCAGTCAGTCTAGCCCCAGGGTGTATTACCTGCAGTCCAGTAAACTGGGTTACCAGGACTGGGAGAGGCCTCATGTTAGACCCGAGGGGGCTAAAAAACATTTCCATGACTGTCTGATTAAAGTGCACAAGGGACTGGCCAGATGACTGCCTTCCCCTAAGTCGGGGTTTCAGAGAGCAGCCCCTCACTGTCTTTTAAGGTCTCTTTTGTGGGGAAGGGTTAGGGTTGGTAGAAAACAGCTGTTGAGATGATTGTCTCTTAGCAACTGGACAGAGGCATGGGGGACTTGGCTCGAGGCTGCCTGTAGAAGAGAAAAATGCAAGAATACGTCATAGAAGGGGAGTCATCAAGATAACTGGGAAGACACATTCTCGGAAGGCAAAAGGGCAACCATATATCACCGGTTCCAGAGTTTAGCAAAAGTGGATATACGTCATGGAATACAAATTCAGCATAGGTTGAAGAACATAGTTTCTAGGACACTTTAGGCTTAGGAAACAGAAACTTATTCTTGTAAGGTAAGGAGACAGTAACCATGGATAAGGATGTGGTACAGAGACAGTAACAATGTATAACAGTGTGGTAAGGAGACAGTAACAATGGATAAGGATGTGGTACCGAGTCAGTAACAATGGATAACAATATGGCTCCTGCTTCGGTTTCACATTCACCTCCTCTACGGCCACCTTTGCAGCTCTATTGCCTCTGGCTTCTGTGGAATCCCCTTTTTGGTGGCTGTGGTTTTGGGATGGCTCTCTCTCCCTTCCATTTAGATCTGTTTCTCCAAGCAACAGAGCTGATGGAAACATACTTCTTGTATAGGGAGGCACACAGTCATACAGAGACACATAATAAAGACAAATAGCCACCACACATTCAGACACCAGAGCAGACAAGGGGAATCAGAGGAGGTCTCATACATATCTTGGACACAGGATCTATAGTCCTGTCTGACCTTCCTTCTTTTTTTTTAACCAGATATTATTGAAATATAATAAATAACCAAACTGAATTCCAGAGGGGTCAGATCAGATGACTTTCAATGCCCCCCTCTTTTTTTTCTCTTCTGGGTGGCAGCATCCATGTGCCTCCAGAGCAATTGGCAACAATCACTCACAGAGGATTTCCTTGGGGCCCAGGGACATCTCAGGGTGCACACTTTTTAAAAAAATATTTATTTATTTATTTATTTATTTATTTATTTATTTATTATGTATACAATATTCTGTCTGTGTGCATGTCTTGAAAGA